GTACGCGGCAATAGCAGGACAACTTTTCGTTCTATGTTTCTTAGATTATAATTGTTAATTTTGCTACGATTAGTAAATTTTGACGATAAATGTGATAAATGAAAACCATTTATAAGATGTTAAGTCACTAATAGACACAATAATGTAGTGAGAGGCGTTTGACGGATAATTATATCTACAAGCGTAATAACAGTATATTGAAAGATATTTTACTCCATTAATCCCCCTCGCCCCCCCCCCCCTCCCCCTCCCCCGTTCACTCTCCAGTGCTATTTCAAATGTTCTCTATACAACAACTTTTTAATGAGATGTGAATACGGACCGCATCTCAACTGAACAATCGAGTTAACGATAGATAAAAATGATCATTTTCATCACACGTTCACACGTCATTTTCAAAATCTAATTTTCAAGGGAAAATTAAGTCAGTCCAGTTTCGAGATCTTATTTGTGCAGCCTTAACCTCGAAAGCATGTAATATATTCTTTCATTCTGCAGAGATCATATTGTAATGCAAACACTCTGTGTTCCAAGAAGACAATAAAAATTATGCTTGATTTGAAGCTAAGCTTGCACAAAAGAGAATTCGAAACTGGAGTATTGCGAAATGCTATGAGAATATATTGCTTTTGATTAATATAGTTAAGCTGTGATCTCTTTTTTTCGGTTCTTTCTTTTGTACGAATTTTTCGATAACACAATTTCGATATAATTGGCTGTATACGTCTAGCCTTGATCACTTGTTTTTGTATAGGTTTCCTAGGTTTCTTACTTTCCTCAGTCTAAAACATAGTCTGAAACAAAGTTTTGTCCCCACTATGGCAAATTTTGTAATAGATTTATAATAGCTTTAATAAATAGCTTTATTATTATTAAAATTACCTTCATAGTATTAGTTTTTTTTATTATATTCTTTCATGTCATTTTTCACTCAATTCAGTCTTTGTCTACTTCGTAAAAATATTCGTTAGACTATCTATCTATAGCCCATCTAATAGTGCACTGACTCAGGGAATTTTCTGTGGAAAAAGCTTTGCCTGACATTCTTTGATGGAGATTCAGATCTATATTTCCTCTCTAGAACTGATAATTTCTTGCTGTTATTACCTGTCATTATTTGTTATAATTAAACTATAACGGTAAACTAATGAGAAGATAAGGATTTCGAAACAAAATCTGCACTAAAGATTTTGTAAATTTACAAAAAAAAAAAAAAAAAAAATACATAAGCTCGCCTAAAGTCCTCAAAATCTTCCCCAAAAGACAAAAGTTAAATGGTCCACCCCTGAGTGAGACATTTGCGATACTCGGACTGAAATTTTGATTTAAATTGTCTCGCTCATTGACTTGTTGACTCTAAATCGACTGGTTGCTTAATAATTCATCGCATGACTTTGAATCAAACGTCGACCTTATATAGAATAGAAAGTTCGAGAAGGTTCTGTCGTTCGAATTCCATATATGGTTGTACATGTAACTACATGTGACGAGGATGATTTAGCCATGATATCAATTCKCTTGATTGAACCTGAATATTTGTGAGATCKGATTTGGAACGGCAGGAATTAGGTTCGACGTTTGATTCGGGTATTCATTCTCGACTATTCATTTCGAACTAGCCCCCTCCCCAGACAATTCTTTTTCCTCATTTGGGCTTCCTTTGTAACGGTCATCCTGATCACTAGTCCCCTCTCTCKCCCCCATTCTCCCTCTTTTGACAACAAAAAGGACAGGAAGCCTTTTATTCTTTGTGCGAATGAGGCTAATTTCGAACAATCGTTACAGGGAGTGGCCTGCTTGGTGGCTCGGTTTAGAGCAATCCCAGARGTCTAAGGGAGGAAATCCTAGTTGTTAGATGGTTGGTCGATCGAACTACGAACGATGAAGATGTCGAAAAAATTACATGCTAAGAGGCGTACTTCGAACGGGTCGTTTCAAGATTTATCTAACTGACCCGTTTTTAACTAGTTCGACGTTCCAAATATCACTCCAAGCTACMTAAAAACTAACGGAACGTTAATAGCTGACATGAAAACTGACTCTACCAATGCTGAAACGAAGACATCTGATGCTATGGAATTCAAGAATCTTCATGAACAAGGAATTTACGGAGAATTTAAGGCGAATTGAACAAGAAAGCCGCTATTGGATTTATATTTCGATATTACATGTCGTCAATAGTTCAGTTTAGTAAATCAATAATTTCAATTATTTCTTCTATTGAAAATTTTGATCTGTTTATGTAAAAAATGATTTAATAACATTCTTACGGACTTTATGTAAGCTTACAAATCATTGCACTTCGTTTCCAACGTTGATCGGTGTAAAAATTGTTGAAAACCTTTCGTATAACCTTGCTAACTGCCAACTGTTGATGTCTGTAATGTAAACATTTATAAAACTGGAATTTTTAAAACTGGCACTTTGCAGCTAGATGTTTTTGAGATGGCGTAGCACACATGCCGTCCAGTCGTYTAGGYGTAAATAACATTGCTACAGGAAGCCCATGTAAACGCTTTTAGTGAKCGTCTAGTTAAACAATAGAAAACAATGGTAAAAACTATGTGCTTTCAAAAACACAAGGTATCAGATATACGATTCAAGACAACAGGAAACTCGCTGCGCTCGTGGGTCCACTTGAGTTTTGAAGATTTTATGACGTCAAAGAGTGTGTCAATAAGAGGACATACAATGAAAAACCGCGCAATTTGTTAAACTTCATTTGTAGAGTGAAATGATGAGGAAGCTTTTTGTTTTAGGTTTTTTTTTAAGCAGTATGTACACAGTATTAGTAACTATTGTGTTAGCCATAAAATGTATTGTTTGCCTATTTCTTCAAAATTCACAAAACTTTTCAACCAATATGGAAAAATTTTATTCAGTTTAGAATTATCTCATCGAGGGTGTTTTTGCTCACTCATATTTTGAAATTTACATCGTCCGTTAGAAAAAAGTTGTGCACGGTCTTGACTGATCAACCTCAGAAATACATTATAAAAGAAATTTTATCATATATTTATCTATGGAATACCTAATATTTCTCCATTAAGTAAAATTGATATTTTCACTAGTGAAAATAACACATTCGACATATAACATATTTTACGACATAATTTGATTTCATATGGTAAATTATATGATAAACAGAATATTTACGCTCACTCGTGAGAGATCTTTTCAACACTCGAAGAGAAAATCGAAGAGAAAATCCGTACCCACGCGCGCCCAAGTAATATCCTCTATATGTAAAAAAGAAGTACAACAAAAGGTTTTCAAACCATTCCCCTCTATTAATCATGAGAATAAGATCACTCAGTCTCTTTTTTAAGGATAAATATTTACATTTATCACGGTAGTCAATGACGTGCAACGTTAAACAAGTATAAATTTTAATGTTTTGGCTCGATTTGCATCCAATCCGATTTTGCTTTTAGGATACAATCTAATCTTTTTTGTCGTTATCGAAAATTTGCAGTCGAAAGTGATGCTGTTTCACATTTTTGGAGCCGTATTTTTGAGGTTTTTCAGCTTTCTTCCAAATACTTGCTTGTGGATCTGATGTTTATTCACAAACCAGTTCCCGGATGTGCAAACGCGTCGAAGTTTTACAAAAATGGCGGGAATATTTTCTTGTGTTGATTTGAGATTTCTTTTTGCTACTATTATGTACTTTGAATATTTAAATTACTATTACTTATTAAGCAATCGTGAGGCTTGTATAGGACGAGCAAAAAAAATATTATATGGATTCTCTTATATAATCTCCCGCCATTTTTGCAGTGGCTTGCGCGGGCGCGTCTTGTTTACAGGTTTTTTATAAAATTTGATTGATTTACTTATTAATRAGTTCTTCTGGGCTCTGTGCTGTTTTATTTTTGTCATTTTTCTTCTTGTTTCTTTCTTATATTTTTAGAATCGACATGAAAAATGTGTGTGGAGAACTGAATACAGAGTTTGGTTTTAAAATGCAAGTTTTCTATTAGAAGAAGAAGGATCTTGCTTACAAAATTTTGCTTATTAGCATATTAACAAATCGAGATCGCTTTTCTATGGTCTGTACGCTTATCGACAATGAAAATGACGTCAGAAAATGATCAAAACTCAAGTGGAACCACGAGCGTAGCGACTGCCAAGAGAATTCTACAAGTTATGGTAAAATGTTGTGTTGCAAAGCAGTAATGAGCCAACACATTTTCCCTAAAAATTTGTTTTTAGTTTTTGCAAGCGAATGGCTAGATATCGTTTGATAGCATCAGGTTCTTTCAATCTCGTGGGACTCCTCTGGTGAGTCTTTTGTCTAGAGCTAGAAGATCTATATGTATCTCGCGGAAAAGAGGTTAAGGARAGAAGGATTCGAAGAATCAAGTCCCTTCTCAGTTATCTTTTCCAGTTATACTTAATATAACCAATAATTATAGTAGTAAAAACTATGAATGATGAAAATTACTTAACTAAACGATGAAAACCCAAAACAATGCTTTTTAAAGTAAATCACTTAGCATTAATTTGCAGTGATTCTGTATAGCAAACTGGTATTAGGCGAAAAATTATTAAGTGGGTGAAATACCTGTGGCCACAGAATGGCCACACTTAATGTTGGGGCTTCAATGATAAAAAGCACACTGAACGCTGTTTTAATGCTACTACATGATTTATTTCTATAAAGACAGTTTAATAGTACAAATGTGAATATGCAAAAAAGCTAAATATCAGGGAAAAAAGTCGGGGTAAAAAAAATAAATGTAAGTGAGCGGTGTTGTGAATGAAATAGGAAATATAGCTGATTATTAATTCAAATAGCCAATACCTAATATTCATAAATAAAAGGGTTAGAGCGGATTTCGTATGAGTGGGAAACGGACGGTACTGTACTGTGTCCGTAATCGTACTGTAACCAAATTCTACTGCCCCATTGTTTCACCAAAATTCTGCAGGCCAGGTGCGGTAACTGTGCGGTAACCGTACGGTAACGGTGTCCCACTCATACGAAATCCGCTCTAATATCGCTACGTAAGGAAATGTATAGGTGATCAGTTAGTGTACTAATAAAACATGCCTTATTGTACAGGAATCTATTGCGTTTCCATAGAAACAATTTTTATCTTAACTGTTTTTTTGGAAATTTTTTCGATCTAGTTAAGTAAAATACTCGAAGCTTGCATGAATAATTCCAAATGAAGCGGCAGGGACAGTTTGTACAGCTGTTGAATAGTGCTGTTCAGCAGATATATCCTTATCGAGAGGATAAAATGCGTCCAAAGTCCAAAGTGTGTTAAGAACTCTTCCTTGCATACGTACACTTTATCCAGCTTCCCCCAAACAAAACATACATGAGAAAATGTTGCCTAGTGACTTCAAATTTCAAAAGTTAGGTTTTCCTGTGACTTGCTTGGTGGAGCTTGCTACAAATCAGCCAATGACTGAAAGAGTTTTCAAAAAGCTACGCCCTTAAGATCGATGGAAATAACACAATCCAAAAAGCTTTAAAAAGAAGAAGTCAAGATGCAACTATTTCGCTGTAAGCCTTATTCCTTAAACTCCAATTTTTACTTAGATCAATCTTCCCAAAAATACATTACTACAGAATCACAGCAAWGAAGTTGACTGAATCAGTTTTCTTTTATAGTGTATACAAATAGTTTAGTGGGAATATTTCTGCAAAGTTGTAATACTAGAACGGTTAAGAAAGTATTTCAATTTTAAATTTGATTTAACAAAATATATGATAAGTAGGGTTTATGTAGTAATTCCATCAACTTCATTGCTGTGGTCATCCATCTATTAATATATAATCAGATCCTCAATTTATTTATTATCTGTAGATAGGTGTTTAATCTTGCGTTTAGTTGTGGGGCGTTACTGGTTCGTTGGCATCAGCTACGAAAATCAAGAATAAAACAAATTATGTGAAGTAAATAACATGAAATTATAGGCGTACCAAATCCAGCTTAATATCAACACAAATATCGGAAAGGAAGGTTGAAAGTGAACGAGGGACATGTTTCTCCATTAAGCTTAAACTTGCAGTGAGATCATAGATCATTTATATAGTCAAMMATTTTCATTTATGTGCGAAAAAATGTAGTTACCTTTTGGAACTTTGCTCTTTTTGCCAAACAATCGTCGGAAGAATCCAAAACGTCGTTTGCGACGTTTAAGRACAGGACGACGTCTTCGGCGTCTTCTTCGTCTTCTTAAACGTAACTTCTTCCTTTTTCGGCGAGCATGACGAATTCTTCTTCTAATTTGCCCCAATCGAAGACGGCGTCCTCCGAATTTCACCTTCAGTCCACCATTCTTAAGGCTTATTCTTCGGGAGCGACCTCTTACACGAAGACGGAGAATCTTACAGCATGTCTTWACGGTTCTCCATTGTGAGCCGTAACGAACTTGTAGAGAGTTTCCTTGGATCTTCTTCCACTTCTTKTTATARYGAATCCTWAGTCCRCGTCCACGGAGGATCATRAGAMGATATCTCTTTTTGTCTTTGAGGTACCACTGTCTGCCTCGRCGAACTGCTGGGTAAARCTTTCCAYGAATGCGGACTCTCATTCGCACATGTCGCGTTATGCGAGTCCAAGTGGCTTTAGTTTTCATGATTCGGCGACCACGTCGGAGCTTAATGCGTCTTCTTCGTCCAAAACATTTCGAGATCCACGTCYTTATGCCTTTACGRGTAGTCTTCTTGACGTATCGGTACTTCTTGTTGATAAGAACTTTAATGCGGCGATAGGATGGGCGGCGTCTCCAACGTCCATTTATGAAGATTCTTAGCTTCGTTTTKCGGAAAGTGATGCGTGTTCTTCGCTTGTGGTATCTCACCCAGAAGCGTTTCTTATAGCGGAGCACAGGTCTCCATTTACGGTYGATACGWAYTCKKASTCCACATCGARYGATGCGTGGTCTGCGCATCTTTCTMAATTTGATTAGTSGTCGAYGAGGATSCTTTCTGRATCGWCTGATCTTTCTTCTGATTCTTCTCGTTATTCTTCTYACAACTCTTCTTGWGCGRCGTTTAAGTCTGCGGATCAAACGGATGGTACGTCTCTTGTGCGGTTTTCTGATGAAAATGCGTCTCCATCTCCTTCTTCGGAAGACCTTCACACCACGTCTAGTAATACGTATTCTTCTCTGCTTGCCACGGTAAACAGCAACGAAACGTCTCTTACGTCCAAATCTCTTGGTTTTGACATGTCGCCATCCCTTTCTCCAGAATCTAAAAACATAATAGAAAACATGATATTTAACAGTAGTTTTTCAAAGACATTACTTAAAGACATTACTTGATACGGCACAATCAAGGGCTGTAGGGTTATTGATATTACAGTTGTCCCCTATACAACAGACAAGCCAATATTACAGACTAACCTTATTCTTGGTCTTCTTAGACGCTTCCAAACCTTCTTGAACTTAAAAAGTACTTTGCGGCCTCTCTGCTTGAGTCTGAGATATCGTTTTCCGAACCGAACTCGTAAGCGCTTACCGAAGACGCGGATTGGTCTCCAACGACGTTTGAATCGAATTTGCAGTCCTCTCTTTCTAAACTGTCGACGGATACGACGGCCAGGACGACGCTTACGCAATCTGATTCTTCGGCGACGTTTGAAACGGAGGATACGACGTATACGTCTGACACCACGAAGACGACGACGTTTGGGACGACGAAGAAGACCTTTGCCACGACGTCGTCTAAATCGCTTTGGATATATGAGACCCATGCCATATTTGGGCTTGACACGGATGCGTTTAAAACGTTTTGGGTATATCAGTCCCTTGCCATATTTGCKCTTGACACGAATTGCTCGGAATTTTCGACGAATACGTCTGATGAGACGAATGCGGCGACCACGAYGACCAAGGCGGCGACCAATAACGCGCTTGCCACGACGAGTACGTCTTCGACGAATCCTTCTGATACGGAGTATTCGACGAATTCGTCTGATACCTCGAAGCCGGTGAACACGGCGAACACGTCGGCCTCGACGCCCTCGACGAGGTAATTGTGGACGCCGATATTGCGGTAATGGTGGACGACGAGGAGGATATATTACACATTGTCCTCGTCGAATCTTCACAGGATAACGTTTTCCCTTCCTGGATTTTAGGACTATGCGTTTCTTTGTATATACGAATCTTTTCAGACGTATACCAATGCGCGTWCTGAGGGAGGACAAATAGAAAATACTTATGTTAATTGGCCAATGAATTTAGACAATCAATCAACTCATCAAGAAGGCAACTAATAATCTAACAACCTAAACGATGAAAAATGCATAGGGATATCATCCAGCACAAAACGTTATATTGATATACATAGGTATATTAAATTAGACTGATTTCATAAGTCATAGTAAGTCGCTTCTCCCGATTTTTCGCTTAAACTAGTGACGGACCTGTGAG